GAGGTCGGCTTTGCAGTGCACTGGTCGACTGCCGACCTCGATGATCCGGGCCTTGAGGGGCAAGCTGACTCCTGGTATGAGCCTGCAGACGCTAGCCCTGGAGTCAAGGCTGTGGAGGAAGGCTGGCCACATTCGAGGGGAGATAGAGCAATTGCTGCCCGGAGGGCTGTTGAGGACGCTGTACAGAGGCGCTACATGGGCTCGAAGAACCTTGCTGATGGCTGTCGCCCACATGAGGAGGCCTATACAGGCTTCTAGGTCTTTCCTGGGCTTCTTGCGTGCCAATAAGGCCTTAAGCTGACCACAAAGCTTGGCTCGTTTGGCCTCGCAAAGCTCGACTGTTTCAAGGCGAAAATTAAAGTGCCAAGATAGACGCCGTTGGGATCCGCTTGGACCAGACTTACGCCAGGGTCGCCGGGCTGCTCTTGACACTTCAGCAAGCCTTCCCTACGATAGCCGTCTACTTTACAGAGGCAGCCGTTGACGCCTGCCAGTATCAGGGACCCTCAGCCTTGTTGGATTCCGAAGGAGATCCAGAAGCGTAGCCTTCCGCATCCAGCCTTGCCTGCCTGCCAAAAGACCCCTGCAGCATCTGCGCTGTCCTTTTTATGAACATTTCACCATGCGATCCCGGCTCAGGTCCAGCCTTCTTCAGGCCGGGTTTTCCTGCACAAGCACTGGATGCTCTCCATGCCCTGGGCCAGGTTACATGCCTTGCAGCCGCTGGAATTTACAGGACCCATTTGTGCACTTGCCTCACGTTGCCGTCTTTCTTTTGCACGACACCACGCACTCCCAGAGCATTTTCGTTCACAGCGCCTATGGGAGCTTCAGCGTCATCCTCAGCCATGGCGTCCGACCACGATGCCTTTTCAGATTGGCTGAAGACCTTGGCCCCAGAGGAGTTAGCCAAGCTCAAAGCCTTGCATTCCGCCTCGGCGCAGACGGCAGCCGACACAGCCGTACAGGATGATGCTCGGCCTTGCGATAGTTCTTCCAGCCTATCCCCACGTAGCCTTCTTGTCTACCAGAACCAGGAAGCCTTCTATCATGCCCAAGACGGATGTTATACAGGCCCTATTCCAGCTTGTTTTGGCTACGTCCCGCCTCAGGACGTGGAAGACCTTGATGATGCCGACACGGCCCAGCCTTCCCAGGCCGAAGCGGCTCAGCCTTCCCAGCCTTCTGTACCTGCACTGCAGCCGTCGCCGAAGCAGATGCAGTCACAGAGCAGCCCATTGAAGCCGACGGAGAGTACCTCCCTATGGAGGAGCCTTCTTCCTCTACAGCCTTTCACGCCACACCACAGGCAGGCCCTTATTCGATGATGGGGCAGCTCATCGACATGACATCCGTCGTCACAGCAGCCACACACCAGCAGCCTTTTCCTCTGCTTTTCTTTGATTCCGAGGCCAAGTCCAAGCCGATCAACCGCCATGAGCTCTGGCAGCTCATCAAGCGCCCTGACTTGGGGGTGGCCAGGAAATCCGGAGCCTACTTGACGGCGGACAAGTTCACGCTCAGCCCTCCGGCCAGCTTTTTCCCTTCCTTCCCCAATGCACCGCCCAGCCAGCCGGACAATTCCCCCATGCCCCACGCCAAAGCCGAATAAGAGTCTGGAAAGTAGCCGCCTATCGGAAAAGGCATAGGCCCCTATCGCATAGGGGTGTATCGGAAAAGGCATAGACCCCTATGCCCAGCGGCCTACCCACTAGGCCAGGGACCCCTATCGATAGGGGTCTATGGGGAATCGGATAGGTACCTATATAGGGGTCTATGGCTGGGGGATAGACCCCTATAAGGCGCATAGACCCCTATCGTTTTGCGATAGGGGTCTATACACCCGCTCCTCCCTTTATAAAGGAGCGAGTGCAGGAAGCAATGAATCAAACGCATACGCACAAACAGTGGCACAGCGAAACTCAAAGGAACGGCTCGTTCTGCAGTCGGTCCGTCGGTCGCTACACGAGCACGCCGGTCTGTCACTCAGTCGGTCGGTCGGTTGATCCATGCACCGAGCGCCATGCAGACAGTCGATCGGGCAGTCGGTCAGTCGGTCTGCCACTTTTTGTGATATAGGAAGAGCCGGCATCGCCAAATGAGGGGTGCTTAAGATATATGGTAAACTGGAATCGCCACATGACGGGGCGTGTTTCAGGTATGTGGCGGACCGTTGTCGCCAAATGTGGGGGCATGTTTAAGAAAGATGATGAACCGGCATCCAGTGAGGGGGCGTTTTTAAAATCTACGATCTACGACGACTTGTTATCGCCAAACGAGGGTGTGTGTTTAAGATATATGATGAGCCGTTATCGCCAGATGAAGGGGCATGGTCAACAGATATGATGAACCGGAATCACCAAGTAAGGAGGCGGCGTGTGTAAGATAAATGGCGAACCGGAATCGCCACATGAGGGGCCGCATTTAGGGGCCGTGTTTAAAATATGATGAACCGATATCATTAGCAAAACATGCGAATGTAGCGAGCGATAGTGTCCATGCGCATGCACAGACAGCTGCGCAACGAGGTCATATGTCAAATCATTCGAAGGTTTTGTTCCGCGCTTGGACAGGGCAAAGAAGTAGGGTTTGTGGAAGAACCGCTCAAGGGTCATATGTCAAATCATTCGAAGGTTTTGTTCCGCGCTTGGACAGGGCAAAGAAGTAGGGTTTGTGGAAGAACCGTTGGTATCAGGGTTCTGAACCCTGCTTCGGAAAACCCTACTTCCTTCACACTCCCGCGTGCTCTGCTACTCCAGTGGCTGCATGGGATGGAGGCGGTCGTGGCTACTGCACAAACTTCTATGGTGGGGAGCCTCCGAACGCAGCGGTGGAGATCGATGTCGAGTCCCACTTTTACACGGTCGAGCCAGGACCCGATGAGGACCCGCCTTCCCAGCCGAGGCCTAGCCAGGAACAGGACCCTGAGTCCTCCAGCAACCCGTCCTCCCGCCTTGCCCACCGCTCCCGGAGTGGTTCTCGGCCGATACGGGGGTGCTCCGTTATTGGCACTTCGGTGCCACGGGCAAGGGTAAACCCCGCAATATGGGGAAGCAGTCCGTCCCCGCCCTTTGCCTTCAGGATTTGACAAGCCCTCCCGAGCCTTTGGTCGACAAGAAGAATCTCGTGGTGGACCCGCCTGCAAAGCCTTACCAGTACAAGCCACCGGCTATGGCCCTGCCAAGATTGCCTTGCCCTAACGTGCGCAACTGCATCATCATCCCCAGCCTTACCCTGCCGCACACCTTCGAGCTGGACCCAGCCTTTGCCAGGGTTTAATATATGGGCAGCCGTGGTGAGATGCATTGTGGCCTTCCCTGCTCGACCGTGCCTTTCTGTCCTTACCATTCAGCCTGCGGTCGCGAACTCAACGAAGGTACCGTAGAGCATAAGGACAAGCACTCCGGCCATCAATGTTCGCGCTGTAAAGAATTTACAGACCTTGGCCGTAGCCCTTTTGAATGGTTTTCCGCCGTACCCCCGCAGGCCTCCTCGGGGTAGCCTTTTGCCTTTGCAGCCTTTTGCCAGCCTTCTCTCGCCTTTACAAAGAATTCCGTACCAAGTTAGCTTTCAGCCATGATCTAGGCTCGGCGCACGGCATTTTTAGCGCCGCACGACAGCCGCCATCGGCCCACAAAAAGAGTGCTTGCCTTTCTTGCCCTGCCTGTCCTTTCACATCAAGGGTTCTGTGATTCTTCAAGCCCTCACCTGCAGGACTAACCTGGCCTTTCAGCGGCGTCCTCAGTTTCTGCACTCATTGCGGAGTTTATGCCCTTCACTGCATGCCGTCAGCCGATCATGGATCCAGACACAGATCCGGACGACCTTAGCAATCTAGAATCATGGAGTCCGGTCAACAGCCTTCACAGCGATGCTCAGCGAACAGGAAGATCCCTACCTGCTCCACTGTGGGATCTCTCGGGGCTTCTTCACCCAGACGACGATCAGCCTACAGCATCCCAGCCAGATCGCAGCAGGAGCCCCAGCCGAGAGAGCCATCTGTCACCGAGACAAGAACAGACCACAGTGGTCCGACGCTTTCGAAAAGATTCTTCTGCCTTCGCTTCAACAGTGAACCCTATCCCAACAAGTACGAGAAGTGGTCACCCTGCCTCAGCACGACTCGCAGCACGGCCTGACAGTCCACGACGAAGACGATCCTGCCAGTCCACCCAGTAGACCGCGCCGCATCGAGAGCAGCACGTGTAGCCAAGTCGAGACCCAAGAGTTCTTGCTTGTAGGACGTTTGGTCCTCCTCGCCGTTTCCTATGGCACAGCGGTAACCACCAGGCTGAACCACGACAGCGAAAGCCCCAATGTCCTGATGCTCCGACCCATCAGTGGCCAATGGATGACAGCGGCCTCTCGCATGAGATTGCAAAGCTCCTGCACCAAATCCTCGTAGAGCTCGTCGGGATCCAACGCGGGCGGAGCAGGAGGCTGCTCGGGAACCCCATGAAGTAGAAGGCGCTCCTCACACCTGTCGCGGGGCATGCGGAGGCCAGCACGGAGATGAGCAGTGCACCTGCAAACCCACAAAAGGTGAGCCCGTGATGGGTGTTTCAAGCCACACATGCAAAGCCATCTGGGATGCCCTTCCCCAAAGTGATCGCCGGCATTATAATGCCAGCAGGTGCCACCAGCCCCGGTCCTCCAAAGTGGTAATCAAGGGTCATGTCAGACCTGGGCAGACGCAAGCCAGTGGCGAGCTGCGGGTCGTCACGGTGCAGGCTGTGGTGGATCCTGCCCGTGCGTGCCACAGCAGCCTGACGGAAATGTTGGCGGAGCCACTGGTGCACGACAAGGAAGCCGTCACGTCCAGGTCGCACGGTCCGCTGCCGGCCAGCACGATCGATGCGAGACAACGCAGAACCAGCAGGGTCCAATTTCCTTCAAGGGCGATCAGGCTAAGCATGCATCGGAGTGTGCAATGATCATTTGGACTAAATTCCTCTTTTCCCTCTTCCACCCTCATACCTTGCAGGACCCCCGCCGCATTCATGGATCTCGAGGGAGTCCGCCAGGACGAGCTTCAGGAGGCAGCAGCAGCACTCACTATGCTCCAGACGATGGCCCTTCAAGGTCGCAACCTCTTCGACACGCAGCAGGGGCCAGCTCAGAACTCGACCAGCTCCCTCCATCCTCCGACCCTGGAGGTTCTGACCCCACCACGGCAGACCCTCTCTATCACCGGAGAACCGGAGGAGGACCAGCCTTCCAAGTTCACGAGAACGAACGAGAAGGGCCAGGGAGGGAAGGGTCAACGGCAGGGACCCCAGACCCGTCAACAATTCCCGTCGAGAACTCCACCGGCCGGCCCACAGCCATCCTCGGCTCCCAGCGGAGGTTCACCCTCCAAGATTACGGTTTCCGCCTCGCTGATCACCCAGGTCGTGCAACTCTTGCTCCGACATGCGGATGCTCTCAACAGCATCGAACAATCAACGACATGGATTCTGTTTCAGGGCACGGCGCCCCCGCTAACGGTGGTGGATGCACAGGCCACCATAGCGGCGGAGTGGAATCGGTTGAAAACCAGCAACCCCTCGGCTATCACACAGCCCCTCAGGGTAGTGCTATGGCAAACGTGGGCATCCGAATTCATCAAACGCCTTCAGCTACTGGACACCGATCAGAATCAGCGGAGCGAGGCCATTCGGCTTCAGATCCTCACGGGGCCGTATGGGGATGTTCGTCGCACGAAGGGTGGTGAAGAGCTGTTGCATTTCTGTGAGCAGGAGGGCTTGGTCGTCGCTGGTACCTTCACACAACAACGGGATAAGGCGACATGGTTCCACTGTCGATTCGGCACCGCGCACACACTTGATCACTTTCTAGTTGACAGGAGGGATCGCAAGTGGGTTGCCTCAAATCTAACGGTACACCATGTCAGCAGGCACTTGAGTGGTTCTCGGGGCAGGCAAGGGCGGCCATTACAGTTTTCTTCCGCCCCATGGCTAGAACACACGGACCACGAGCCTATCGAAATGCTGCTTAGGATCCGTAAGGACTGGGTGGCTGAAGCTCAGGCGAGGGAACGAGAGGAGTCGAGGCCGGATGTTGTGCGTTTTTTGGGGAAATCGGATGAAGCCCTTAGGCTGAGGGAGGAGTATGCTCAGCAAATCACAGAGGAACTGTGTTTGGTGTCGGGGAGCAAACTTGATTGGGACGTGCTGGCCGACGTCATGAAAAAGACTGCTTTGCGCGTGGTTGGGAAAGCAAAGCCGCGCTTTGTTGATAGGCCTTGGTTACGAGGGAAGGAAAGGGAATTAGAGGAATTGGAACGCCGGGTTCATGTTTTGGAGGAGCGCTTGCGGAATGCTCGTTGTTTAGGATCGTCTGATGTCGACACACTGTTACGTGACAGGAGGTTAGCCAGCCAAAATCTGCGAAAGGCCAAGCGACGGTGGGAAGCTTGTTGGTGGGATGATTTGGCGGCGCAGGCGAACCAAGCTGGTGTGGAGAAGGACGATGCATCTTTTTGGCGAATTTGTAAAATGTTGGGGTTCCGGGAGGGAAATCGGGCGTCGTTGGGAGTACGGCGCTCGGTGGCGGATGCGCAAGCGTCAAGGGAAGAATGGAGGTCTTTTTTGTCGGGTATTCAGTCAGGGCGAGGGGCGGTCACCGATGCTGTTTGGGAGTTCATTCCAGAAGCGGACCAACTGCATGAATGTTTGGCCCTCCCCCCTTCCCTTGAGGAGTTCAAGCAGGCTCTTAAAAAGTTGCAGTTTGGAAAAAGAGGTGGGTGTGATGACATTACGGCCGAACTTATTCGTTACGCAGGCGAGGACTTGAGAAATGCGACGTTTGAAGTTGTACGGGACATGTGGTCTGAGGCGGCGGCTGCTCCAGAGGGAGCTGAGGCGGATTCTTGGTGTGATTCGTCCAAAACAGGTATCTGCATTCCGATGTTCAAAAACAAAGGTAGCCGTCTGGATATGAACAATTACAGGAACCTTGTCATGCTTTCTGTATCTGCCAAACTGGTAGCCAGGATTTGTGCCAGCCGTTTAGCAACATGGGCGGAGGAGTGGTTGCCTGAACAACAGAATGGGTTTCGGGTGGGAAGGGGTATTGATGACGTTCAAATGGTGGTTCGGAGGCTCATCGAAGAAATTGCTGCGGCGGCTAACGAGGGGACCTACGGTATGACGTGTTTTGATATTGTGCGTGCTTACACCAGAGTGTGTCGTGATGCGTTGTGGTCTCTCCTCTCCCGACTGGGTGTGCCGGCTTCCTTTGTCCAGGTGTTGAAAGCGTTGCATGAGCATACCCGTTTCAAGGTCTTCGTTCACAATGGGTACTCGTCGGAGTGGTTGACGGATCGAGGCCTGCGTGAAGGATGTCCCTCGTCTCCCATCCTGTTTTCCATTTTTCACCACGCTGTCTTGCTCACTTTTCGTTGTCGCCGAAAGCGTCAGGCGGAGCCGAGCAATCTGCAACCGGGTATCCCGTGGAAGTTTAAGGTGGATGGTCACCTCACCCGCCCGGGTCGTGCGCGTCACTCGTCTAGGGGCATTCGGGAAATCGTCATTGGAGATGTGGAGTTCGCGGATGACACTGCTCTCTTTGGTGAGGTGGAGGAATTGCATCAGGCGGAGCAAATCTTCATCCAGACGTTACGGGATTGGGAGCAACAGGAACATCCGGACAAAAGGGAAAAACTTGTTCTTACCCCGCGAGGTAGACGTCCCATGGATGTTCTCAACATCTTCGAAAAACGCTTGCTGAAGCATTTGGGAGCCACTCACACTGATAATGCGGATCAGTGGGCTGAAACCACGAAAAGACTTCAGGCGGGTTTCTATGCGGTTAAGCGGATTGCCAAGTACTGGTCCTTGGGCTCGGCACATGGCAGAGGGCGTCGGTCGGGGTTGTCTACTAACCGCAAGCTCAAGATCATGCGTTGTGTCGTGGAGGGCACGTTGTTGTCGTGTTCTAAAACCAGAGTGTGGAGTTTGGTCCAAGAACGGAAGGCCAACCAGGTCATTTCGAGAGGTATTAGGCGCTGTCTGGGGTTAGACCGCATCATTATGCGCCAGTACGGGTATGCGGACGATCGACTTCGGAACATGGTGCAATGGAACTCCTTCTCTGAGTTGGTGCACAAACAGGTCCTGAACTGGGTTGGTCATGTTGCTCGTATGTCCACGGACAGGTTGCCGAAAATCGCGCTGTTTGGGTGGCCGGCGGGTTTGGAAGAACATCATTCCGGTAGGTTTACTTACCCTCGTTGGGTGGAGTGGGTGCTGGAAAAGCACAACATCTCGGTCATGGATTGGTTCAGGCTGGCGCAAAAGCCTACGTCGAAGTGGCTTAAACTGGTCCATCAAGCCCTGCCCCGTAAGCATTTGAGCGTTTCCCGGACGTACAAGGTCAATGCGTGGAAGCCAGGGGATCCTATTCTGGATTGGAAAGCTCCCACCCCCTGTGTTCCGAATGGGCCCGGTCCGTCAGAGGATTCGTTTCCATGTCCGGTTTGCTCACATGTTGCGTCTTCGGCGCGAGGGTTGCAAGTGCATTATGAAGGAGCTCATGCTATTCAGAATCCCGATCTCACCACTGTGGCTGTTGACTCATGTCCTGATTGTGGTCAGGTATTCGTGTTTAGTCGCGATCGGCAGAGACATCGCTGTCCCACCAAACCTCACACCCTGGAGGCAGTGGCTCTCCTCTTGCCGGCCCCCCTTCCTCCTTCTCAGCCCTCCTTGGTTGATGTCTCGAGGTGGGTGTTGTTCACTGATGGGGCAGGTCCGTCGGGGGATGAAGCGGTTCATGCCGGCTGGGGAGTCGCTGTATGGGAGTCTTCTTCATCTGCTTCCACCCCTTCTTTTGCTCTCTTTGGTCCGGTATGTCTGTCCAATTGGGAGTCGCGGTGGGTGGGCGCCGAGGTGGCCACGAACAATGTTGGGGAGCTCGCCGCTATGATCGAAGCCTTACTTTGGTTGGAAGCGGAGGCGCCGGGTCCGGCTGAAGTACCGGCTACCATTTTTTATGACTCTTCCTATGCGCATGGTGCAATCACGGGAGCCCATGCTGTTGGAGCAAATGACAAACTTGTCGCGAAGGCGCAGGCCACGCTGGCTAGGGTTCGGGCTAAACGGCCGGTTGATTTTCAACATGTTAAGGGTCACTCGGGGAATTTGGGAAACGACACTGCAGATCGTCTAGCAGCACGTGGGGCGAGGGGTGAGCAAACGACTCAATCCAAACGTTGGAGTCTTCCATTGACCGCCCCTCCTCCGTTGGATCCTCTGCTTGTTGATCACTGTTGGCGGTGCCAAAGGGTGTTCACGGGACCATCGTATGCGCGTCAGCTGGCGGGGCATGAGGCCAACTGTGCTGTCCCTGGAGTCCCCCCTTCACACATCCCCTGTCGTCATGGGTGTGGTAAACAGTTTCCTTGGAAGTTTACGGAGGGCGCTAAACGAGTGGTTCATCATGCGCGGGAAGCTCGTGCGATTCATGAAAAGATTTGCCGGGGTTCTATTGAACTCACGCGAGTGTGTCCGTACTGCGATCTGCAATTTCCAGAAAGCATCTCGGATGAGTACCTGGTCAATCACCGTAAAACATGCAGCCACAGACCAGAGGATGCGCCACCCTTGTCCAAACTGTGGCCTTGTCCTAACTGTAAGGCTCGTATTCCCTTAGGGCGTCGAGAGGAGCATGAGAACATTTGTAGGGGATCGGCGAAGGCAAATCGTACCTGTAGTCTCTGTACAAATTACTTTCAAACGGTGGATCAACGCGTACGCCATGAGGAGTCTTGCAGGGGGTCTAAGGAGGCTAATTTGACGTGTTCCAAGTGTAACAAGTTGTTCAAAACGTGGGGAAGTCGTATCGCTCATGAAAAGGCTTGCAAAGGATAAACTTCTTGCGTCTGGGTACGGTATCTTTGACGTTCTCCCAGTTTTGTTAGTTTTTGTCGGTCAGTCTGCCCGAGGGCGAGCCCCGCTTGTCGGGTGCCAACCCTTCTCTCCTCTGCTCGTCCCCTCCTTGGGCTCTGGTCCCGCTCGCGGGAGACCAGTGGGTGCTTGCACCGGCGGGACAAGAGAGTTATCAGTCTTCATTTTCTCTCCCTTTCCTACTCGCGCGTTCCTCTTGGCATCTGCCTCCTCCAGGATTCCGTCTTGCTTCTTCACCTCTCCGTCTCCCCCCAGCCACCCATGCGTCGTGAGCCTGTATACGAGCCTGTGAGTGTCGGTTGTTGAGGTTATTAGTTGAGGTCATTAGGTCACGTTTTGACTCACGCCGTTACTCCCTGCCCCCTGTCAGGTGCTCTATTTTGGTTGGCCTGGCAGTTTATGGATGGCAGGAGGGACTGATCAGGACTGCCTGCCTCAGGACACTTAGGCTGTACGTCGGTTGTCTGCTTCAGTATGTTCACTAGTCTCCTCTTTCCGCCAGTTTTACAGCTACAAGCGTGCTCACCTACCTTACTTACTTCCCTCCCTCCAGACGCAATGGCGGGCCCGGCGGTGGCAGAGCGTCTCGAACGCGTGGAGGATCGCTTAGGTGAGTGGGAGGCTACGCTCCGCGTCCGGGTGAAGGGGGCTACGAAGGTCCTGGAGGAGGGCAAAACCTTGGAAACCACCTCTCGCGAGTTCTGGCGTTTGAAGGAGCAAGTGGGCACCTTGCTCCAAGAGGCTACCGAGGATGTGTTGAAGGGGCTCGACCCGACAACCGTCCCTCCTGAGCTGATCGGTGGGCTTGGCCAAGTCTTTAACAAGGAGAACTTGGTAGGTGTTTTCCCCCTGGGTGGGAAGTTTTCCGCGACGGATACGGTGGATATCCGGTTCCATCCTGGTTTGGGGGGGCTGCGCGCGAATTTTTTAATCAAGAACGTCCTCTCGCCTCTTTTGAAGAAGGTGCCAGAGCCTCGTCCTCTGGAAGTCTGGGTTCCGCTGTCGATGGCAGAGTCCAAGCGCCGTCAGCGGAAGCGCGACGCGAGTGGTGCCCCTAAGTCCCGTCCCGCCCGTCCCCAGCAGAGGCCACGTCGCTCCGCGTAGGACTGTTCCCGATGGTGGTGAGTTACCAGGGTCACTTTGTTTTCCGTTTAAGCCCCTGGATGCTCGCCCTCCATCTTTTTTCGATCCATGTTTCCGCGTAAGCATGTGCTCCCGCCTGGCTGTCCTGAAAGGTTTGCACCTCCTCTTTCCCTTCTCCCTCTTCTCGCTCTTCTCGCTCTCCTCTCCCTCTCTCTGTCTTCCCCTCTCTCTTTCCCTCTCCTCTTTGCCGCTTGATGCATTGCGTTGTGCCCAGTGATTGTCCAGTGCTTGCAAGGGTTCTGTAACTGATAGGATGGAACTGAGATGGGTGTAGGTAAAAACGAGATTTTGCAAGGAGCCATGCAGGAAGCCGTTATCGGCTGAACAACCTGTTCCGACGACGACGATATGCTTCAAGAAACCATCGTACTATGCAAGGAAGACGGCGTTCTCATCAATTACCATCCGATGAGGCGGTTGACACAGAAGATGGCAGGAGCAGCCATCACATTCTCGATGCATCTGGGACTCAGAGAAGCCAGAGCCTATCGATTCTGGACAATAGTCGAAGCTCTAGCTGGAAACGCCTCGCTTCAGTTGGTAGCGACGACAATCCGCAAAGATCGACGAGGACGATCTCCCTTAGCCCAGGCACTCGAGGCCGAACTTCGTCGGTTGCAGAAACCTTGCAGCAAATCAGACAATTGAAACTCCGTAATCCTTCCAATGACTGCTATGCCAATAGTGTCCTTCTCTCCACAATGTGGCTAGCAGTGCAACACAAAGGACCCGCTGAGCTCTCTCTCTTGTCTGCCGTGCAGGAGGACCTCCAGCAACTGCTTCTGCATGCCACTCCTGCATCCAGCCCTGTGCATGTGTGGACACGGCCGCTCTGGCGCAGGAAGCTTCGTCACTGGCCGCATACCGGCCGCCAGCAAGATGCGGCTGAGTTTCTCAGCCACTACAATGAGGCCTGCCGCATATCAGTTCCCTCCAAGGTACATGGGCTATTCTAGACCATAATGCCCTGGTAGATTGTGGTCATGTGAGCCCACTGTGTCTTAACTGCGACCTCGAAGCCCTTCCCCGCATCCAGGGTACCCGGTAACGGCTGACGACATTGCAATCGGAACCCTCGTCTTGAAGACTCTGCCATCTACAAGGCGGAATCTGTTCAGCTGCAGAGCGACGCCCTCAGAGCCTGATGCAAGGGCAGGGTTACCAGGGAGCTGGTGCCAGGCCCTCCCCATATGGGTTGAAGGTTCAGTGAAGCATACTCGCTTTCTCCTGACAGCAGTGATTATTCATCTAGGGCAGACCCCAAAGGAAGGTCATTACCAGACTTTACTCCTAGACACGGCTGGCAAAGCATGGATCACGGACGACAACGTTGCTGCTAGGCCTCCGGATCGCTCACTGGCTAGAGTTGTGCAGGAGAATGCTTACATTGTTTTCTTGCGTCCTGATCCTCAGCTTGCTTCCGAGCCCTCGCATTAGTTTTGACTCCAGTACCGTGGCAGTCTGCTCAATCAGTGAAGCCTGGTGCTGTATTAGGCCCTTAGGGGCGACTAGGCTTTTCTTGGATGGATGGCGAAACCGCCATGAAGCAATGCTTCCGCACAAAGTGCGCCATTACGCTCGGCGGACGAACTCATCCTGCTGCGATCGTGAGTGAGTGAGTGAGTACTACTACTACTACTACTACTACTACTACTACTACTACTACTACTTCTTCTTCTACTACTACTACTACTTCTCCTGCTACTACTACTACTACTACTACTGCTACTACTACTACTACTACTACTACCTTTGCGACAGGCCGCTGAGGAGGCTTCCCTGGCTCTAGACCGGCACCCCCCCTTAACGACCCTAAATGATAGTCCTCACCTCGTGGCCAGGCCGGATGTTCAGGACATTCTGACCAGGTCGCACTGGCATGAGCTTCTGCATCTCTCTGCCTTACGCCTTGAATTGCAGCAGCATTGTCCTTTTTGTCGCCAGTGGTGTATGGACACTGCTGCCATCAAGCGTCACATGACTCAGAAGCACCAGGAGTGGACCGATCATTTCGCTACTGTCGTAAGCCACCTTACCCCCTTCCGTCGTACTATGGTTTTCCCACGCAGATACTGTGGACTCACGCAGGTCAATTGCCATACCACTGGCGTACGTGTATTGTTCTACAGGTTAGCTGCTACCTGGGTCTCAGGCATGGGCGCTCTGATGGGAGAGGATCTGGAGATGTCCCCTTCAGGTTCGGGGGGATCTCAGATCGTACACCCGACCGGCCTGGACACAGGCCTCTGCCACTGGCAAGGGCAATCAGGGCCCTCCCAAAAACAAAGGAAAGGGCAAGGACGGGAAGGGCAAGACGGGCCATCGGCCGTGGACGTGGGGCTCGGATTGGAAATCTCAGGACTGGAACCAGTCATGGGGTCGATCCCACGGCCAGGATCTCGAGCAACTGGTGTATCATGATGATCAAGCACGAGTATGCCATCAACTCCTTGAAGCAGGACAGCACCGTGTACATCTTTGTGAAACCGGGCTCCCAAGGTCTCCTGCCCATCCTCTTCAACACATCCGAGCATTGGCGCCAGGTTCAGCAGGAGACGCCGGAACAGGTCGACGAATCTCTACGGATTGTCCTTCTGAAGGCCATGCTCTTGGAGTTTGGACAACGGCTCCGCAACTCTATGAACAGCGAGGAGTCATTGAAGACGGCCAAGGATCTTGGGTGGGTGACGGAGACAGTGGAAACAACTGGTCTGGAATTCGAAGACGGAGGCGTTAGAGGAGGCTCCGAACGGTCGCACATGGACCTCCGAAGCCCTCGTCAAAGAGACCGTGGAGCTCCAGAAGCTGGCGGACCCGGGGGTGAAACACTGAATGTTACACATCCAGGTGCCTGTCTGTTTCACGTATCACTTGCATGTATCCATGCCTGTTGCTCAAGGTTCTAGTGCAGTGGACTACAGCTGTGCGCCTGTAGCAAAAGAGACACCTGAGTGCCTGTGTTCCTGTACGCCTAGCGAGGGGATACACGTCCAGGTTACATCTCAACGTGGTAGCGGAGCTCCCGGGAAACGGGAAGCTTCACACTTGTGGAGGTACCCGTTCGGTACTCTCTACACAGGTGGAGGCAACCGGAATACCCGGTGTGCTTCACTCAGGTGAAGGTGACCGGAGTCTCTCCGGCACACTTCACTCAGGTGAAGATAACCGGAAGAGGTTTCTCCCGGGGCTCGATCCAAGAACAGCGCAATGGCTAGCCACTCTGCGACTATCTTTGAGCATGAAGGAGGAGATGATGACTACCTCCTCCACGGAAATGAATCTTTCGCGACTAATCATCGTCATCTCAATGAATTACACCGTCTTTCAGCTTTCCAGCAGGTGACCACCAAAGTACCTCCATCTTATGATGGTAGAAGCAGTTGGTTTGCCTATGAAGATGCGATCGATGACTGGTGTGACATTACTGAGCTAGACAATGATAAGCGTGGACCAGCTTTGAGAAATCGGCTAGAAGGTGAAGCAGCAATCCACAAGAGACTTCTCGACAGAGATCGCCTGAAGGACCCGAACAACGGAGTGAAGTACTTCAAGAGTTTCCTGCGGCCGCTTTTCGTGAAGGGAGCAGCGAATGTTTTTCTCTATCGCTTCCAGCAGTTCATGAACATGCACCGTGGGAACGGAGACATGCTTCGTTGGATTACCAGGTTTCAACTCTCTGTTCAGAGAATGCAAGAAGCGTGGAACGATACCTATCTGCCGATCGAGGACCCGAACAATGCAGAGGTCAGAGCTTTCATAGTAGGACTTCCTCCAGAAGAACAAGAAAACCTTACGCCAGCTCAGGCAATGGAGAGAGCCAACGAACGGCTCAGAGAGCAGCATGCTCGGACCATTCCGATCACGCCCAACCTGGTCGCTTTGATCTTTGTGTCCCTGTCTGATCTGACACAGGATCAGCGTCAGGTGTTGACATCACTGATGGCGCATCGGAACCGAGTCCTGGCTGACTACAACACGGCCGAGCTTCGCGAAGTCTACCTGGAGATCTTCTGTACGACCAAGACTACCGTCGACAATCCACTCCTCGCTCCTTCCGGCCACGGTGGCCGCAAGACCTTCCTTGTGATCGATGAAGGATATTTGAACGATCATGAAGGCTACTGGGTCGAGGACGAGGAAGATGGCACCGAAGGTTTCCTCGAAGCGGATGAGGACGCCTTCTGGGTCTACGACGACGAGAACTATTCATGGTTCCAGCGGCGCTTCCAAGGCCGCAAGATGAGGCGCGGATTCAAGGGCCACCGTAAAGGCAAAGGAAAAGGTGGCAAAGGATCCAAAGGAAGGCGCTTCTTCAAAAGGAAGAAAGGCAGGTCACATCTTGCCGAAGAATCAGAAGCATGGCAAGCAGAAGGACAATGGCAAGATTACCAGTGGAGCGATCAGTCCTGGGATGACTGGTCCTGGTACGAGTCTGAGGAATCCTATGCAGCCAAGGGAAAAGGAAAGAAAAGAAAGAAGGGCAAAGGAAAGAGCAAGTTTGGCAAGGATGGAAAAGATGGAAAGTCCGGAAAAGACGGACAGAGCCAGCTTGCTGATGCTGCCCCGAGCGGCACCACAGCCGCCACAACCTTCTTCGTTGAACATCTCAACACTCCGAACTTTTCTTTCATGGCCACCGAAGAGAAGATCAATGAGATCGAGGAAGTACACTAGCTAGCGTATCCTCCCGCCACCTCCCTCTACACCTCCGGGGAGTACGTAGCAAGCCTAGCTTAAGCTAACTGGCTTCACGCAGTAGCACGGACAACACGAACTTCTCTCTTTTTAGCGTTGTGGCGAAGTCCCGCGTTAGCCCGGAGAAGAACTCTAGGGCGAAGTCCCGCGTTAGCCCGGAGAAGAACTCTAGCCTTTGGCTAGCTAATCTCCAGGGTGGGTTGGGTGGGCACTCGAAATTTGCCCCCCAATAGCTGGGGGCCTTTCAGCACAATGGCCACGGAGTAGCACTGCTTCACCGGCCATGTGCAGTCACTCTAGCAAACAGACAAGCTTCGTTCTGTTTAGCTTCAGAGGAAAACCCCTTCGACGTTTTCTAGCGAAACACCTTCGATGTTTCCCAAAGGGATACTAGCGCTAGCATACACTGTCGTACCTCGTCCCTCGGCACGAGTGCGTACACTAGCTAGCGTATCCTCCCGCCACCTCCCTCTACACCTCCGGGGAGTACGTAGCAAGCCTAGCTTAAGCTAACTGGCTTCA